TTCCCTTGGCTAATTTGAAGGTACAGATTGCGACCCGCAAGTGGCTTTAAGAATCACCATTAACACCGTCGCTGCACCGTACCGCATGTTAAGCATGTTTCCAACACAATCAGAACGTCACAATTTGTAAAATCTGGGGTGATTTTATAAACGATCGATGCAGCAGAACGCGCTCCATCACAACAGCCCACCGGCCAGGTCATTGGCTTGATTAGTGGTGGCGACCTGTACAGAGGAGGAAAAAATGCCTGAAAAGACCCGACAAACTCAAGCACGAACACGAAGACGAACCTCTACCCTGCCTTTACACTGGCTTCTTCCTTCCATCTTACTTGGCCGAGGCAAAGACTGAGAGCTCAGACTTTCACGCCCTCCCGGCAGCCGCAGCAGCACAGCCCCTCGGCACCGGCCGGGCTGCACCCGCTCGCAGGAATTTTGGCTAATCCCGGCGGATGAGCAGCATTGTCCTTCACCCAGCACAAGGGCCCGCCTGTTCCCTGGGATACAGCCCCTCGATCAGAGCTGACCCCCCTGGGTGCCAAGGAGCTCCCGTACTTGCCAGGAGCAGGCAGGGGGGGTCCCAGCCCACCCTGGATGGCACAAGCGAGTGGGACGGGTCCGGGTCCGGAGCGGAGGTGCGGATAACATCGCCTCCACCTAACGGCATTTGGAGGCTGGTTTTGGTCCTTTTGGACTTTTAGTTCCTCCCCCCTTAGATCTCGTCCAGGAGCTTACACAAGGATGCTAATGTGAAGGTAAATGTTATGGCTTGCATGTAGAAAAAAACAGGCTATAAAAAAAATTAACCCATGAAATAAATTCACAGAATTCCTGGGGGGAAAAAAGGGAGACCTGTGGCCTCTCGTCTTCAATGCACATCGCAGGGAAAACGCCCTTTGTGGAAAAAAACAAAAGGTTTCATAGAAGCTAAGGTGTCTGTCCCCCCCCAGCCCTCAGCTTCAGCAGTTACGGACCTTTTCTCGTGAGAAGCGAGTGGGAAGATGCTTTTGAGAGAATCATAGAATCACTTTGGTTGGAAAAGACCTTTGAGATCATCGAGTCCAACCTTTAACCTAACCCTGCCATCCCACCACTAAACCCTGTCCCTCAGCACCTCATCCGTCCTTCTTTTAAATCCCTCCAGGAATGGGGACTTGACCACCTCCCTGGGCAGCCCATTCCAGAGCCTGACAGCCCTTTCGATGAAGAAGTTTTTCCTAATGTCCAGCCTAAACCTGCCCTGGCGCAGCTTCAAACCATTCCCCCTCGTCCCATCCCCTGTTCCCAGGGAGAAGAGGCCGACCCCCAGAGAGGATCCATCCTCTGGGGCTATCGCCCACCTGAGAGCAGGGCTCCCCTGCGCACTATTCCAGCTTCCCCTAAGAGCAGGGAAATGATGAACGCGAGCCGCTAGAGCAGAGCTCAGCCCAACCACCGGCGCCCGTGCCCTCGCGCCTGGGGAAGCGCTGACACCAGCACCGTGCCACCGGCGGGGGATGGAGCAGGGATCACCTCCAGGTCCGTGGGGAAGAGACGAGCAGGAAGCGAAGGAAGGGCTAAGGCACCATTGCTCTATTCCTGATGTCCCTGCGGAGCCTCCTGCCTACGCCAGCCACGGAGCCCAGCCAAGGTGGGCAGGAGCTGTTGGAGAGACCCCCCGTGAGTTCGGTGGGCAGGACCAGAGCCCACTGCGGGCACAGCCGACAGCCTCAGTGGGAACAAACCGCCAGGACTTGGGACATTTTAGCAAATGGTGACTTTCTCCTCCTGTCTCCGGAGCAGAGCCCTTACCTGGGGAGGAGGCAGCGGTGGGGGCCGGCCAGCCCTGCTGATGGGCCGCAGCCGTGCTGTGGGACAGGCTGACGTCCCCAGGACAAGCCGTCCCCGTGGAGCCCCCTGTGCCCCCTGCACCCCTGGAGAGGGACGGCGGTGACCGGCTCTGCGGGGCGACCGAGGCAGAGGCGAGAAACCGTAGGTTGGGGACTCGCAAATCGGGCTGCAAAAGCCTCAAAAGGACGGGGCATGGAGCTAACACCAGGATGCGCTGCCAGCCGACCCGATACACACCGTTAAGGAACAGTTTAAGAGAAGAAAACACGGAATACAAAGCGAAGCAGGCAGGAGACTTGCTGAAACACAGTTACTGGGGCCAAATCTGCTGAGTAGGTGCCTTGCTGGGACCAGAGCCTCCCAGTATTCCCTGAGCCCAGCTGCCAGCAGGTCCACGTCAGCGGGGCCGCGGGGCCACAAAAGCACCACCTAACGCAGCTTCTTAAACCCAACAGACAACGTGCCGAGATCCTGGATGGAGAAGGGTATTTATGGCCCATTTAAGGGCGATTGCAAAGAGAAGGGTGGAAAATTCCCTGCATATAAAAGGAAGTTGTCAGGGGTTGAACTTTCCAAACTATGCAAGAGTTCTGAACGCTTGGTTCCTGCTCCAGAACTGATGGGCACTGGCTGTTCACGTGGCTCTGAAGAGCTTGTCTTGCCCAGCGAGTCTTTTGCTCGCTGCTGCTGCTGAATTTTCCAGGGTGCGACAATCCCCGACTTCAGAGCGGGATCAGCGCCTGGGAGGGAACGGCGGGAGGGAGGTAACGCTATCCTGATCCCGGAGGTTTGCCTGACTCCCCCAGCCATCCACACACATTAGGTTGCTTGTT